TCAGCAAGGTTAATGTCATCGTATTGTCTGGCCGAATTTTCATAGCTAAACCCACAAACGTAAATGGCAGTGACAAAATATTATAGCACTGTCATCTAGCACAGTTACTCTCCTATTGCCGGGATCTGTAATAGAGTTTCGGGAATTGTCCTCTTCAGTTGATACTGAAGGAAATTTCTGGAGGCAGCTACTTCTCTGACTAATGGATACCAAGGTGGGCAAGCCCTGTGTTGTTTCCACAACATTCCTTGCCTTTGATCCACATTTTTCTTGTGATGATCATAAAGAGAACCATTAAGAGAACATGCAATAACTTTTATTTTTTATCTACTGGAACTCAGCAATTGTAACCACATTCTTATGCTTACGTGAATAACAATTTTTTCTTAGTGGCATGACAAAGTAGTTATTTGTGCCAAATCTCTCCCATATTGTAAGCTCCTTTACATGAGTTTCTCCTTTTAAATCTCTGAATAATTTTTGGCAGAAACTCAGTGTTGTTTTTTAATTGAACTATAGTGCCTCGATAGCTTAGAATAATTAAATCTCCAGCATAGTACCATTGCTTTATGTTGTACTCCCATTGGATTCCTTGTCCATACTGTTAACTTTCACCCAGCCGTAATGAAAGCTCACAGAATTCTGCTCAACCACAGTACCATTCTACCCATGACTCTAGTTTTTTGAAAAATAAAGCTTTGCAGACCGATCATCAATCATGGTACCTGGAGCAATACAATTCCGCTCCTTCAGGAACCCTGTCTGCTTATACAGATGAGCAGATACTAAGCTGTTCTCACTCAAGGCAAACCCACTTGCCCTCAGATTTGACTTTTCCACGACAACTGTCTTTCTTTGGAATATCATCTCACCAGTTGGATTTCTCTTTGTGGACTCGGGTATTTGGAAACCAAACGTCACCTTCTCTACCACTTCATAGTCAGCCAACTTGGATTGAACCTTAGAGGGGAGTTAACCATCCTTGATCTGAAGATGCATTTCACAGGCCATTCTGTGAGCGACCTTCCCTTTTTGTCTATAGCTGTAACACTGCTAGGAGCCTTGTCCAACACGGAATCATTTCAGTGTGTTCGGGTGGTCGAGACCCCATATTAATGTGTGAAACATGATAACTCAAGAAGCACCATCACACGGGGCATCTAATGACATAATCAGGGGTCCTCAAACTTTTTAAACAGGGGGCCAGTTCACTGTCCCTCAGACTGTTGGAGGGCCGGACTGCAGGCCCCGGGATGAGTTGGCTGCTAAGCAGGATAGGCAGCGGCAGCAAAAACACCTGGTGGGCCAGATAAATGTCCTCAGCAGCCGCATGTGGCCCGTGGGCCATAGTTTGAGGACGCCTGAGTCCTAAACAGTAGTGTAGCTAAGGCCAAAGCATAGAGGTTAGGAGCAGTGAGAAGGGCACAGTGAGAGTGAAGGGCAGGTTAAAATTGGGTGTCCATCTCAGCCACGATACCTGTTAGTCATATGACCTTAGGTGAGTTACTCAGTGTTTCTGAGCATCAGATTTTCCATCTCCAAAGTGGGACTGATGATGTTACTGTGAGGATTACATGAGATCTTTATACACATGCACTTGGCACAGTCTCTAGCACAGCTGGAACATAGAACTAGAATATAGGAAATGTTCAATACATCGTAGTTATCATCAGTATCTTCAGTGATAGAGACTCATTTCTAATAAATAAGGAGAGGTACCCAAGTGTCTTCACGGGAGTCATCATTCTGTGTTCATTTGTTCTCTCTCTAACCAACCACTCACCTGCTCTGGGCAGCTCTGTGGAGGAGGCAAACATGGGCTCTAGCGTAAAGGAGCACAGCTGACCCCCTACTAGAGACTAAGCAGTGTGGTTGGGAGGAGAGCATGGTCTTTTCAATTGGGTTTAGTATCAAACTAATAACTAGAAATCAGACACAGTCCTACCAGGAGAAATTGCTTCAGTGAGGGCTTTTCCAAGGTTAGGTATATCCCTTCACGCAAAGTCCCATTGCATTTGTTGGATGAGATTAACTGTATGAAAATAACTAAGTCCAAGTCCTTCTGGGTCAGAATTTCTGTGCTGGAATAGTCACACTTCAAAGCTTGCTTCCTCTGTGTGCCAGGCGCTGTGCTGGTGATTCTCACAATTTTACTCTTCCTCTTCCTGATGACATTTGACATTAGCATTAATGCGGTCACTTTTTAGGGGAGAAAACTGAGATCAGGAGGGATCCGGTAACTTGCCCCAAACTCAGCTGCGGGAGAAAAAAAACAAAAGCAACAGGGAAGGTTACGCCTACTCAATTCTATCATAGTTATTGGTTATTTAGTGTCAGTTATTTGTCAGAATAATTGAGTGCCTTTACTACTATATAAAAACATTTCCTAGCAGGATTCGGGGGCCCAAGGTGGCACCAGCAGCATCAGATCCAATTACCTGCTGGGACAGAGGCAGTGGGGAGTTTATGGGAGGAATTTATATCCAATAGAAGCCTTTGGCAACGTAATTGAGAATGAGAATAAAAGAATAAGAAAACGTAGTGTATTTAGACTTGCAAAATACCTCTGAAAAGGTTATTGTTGCATTTTTGCTGGGGGAATTCTTTGATCTCGATGCTTAAAATAAAAAAGAAACAATGCAATAATATAAGGACGTTTTTATGGAGCGTGTAAATAATGCTGCTTGCAAATAATCAGCAGTGGGGCCACACTTACTTAGCATGTTTATAAATCATCTGAACGGCGTCCGTAGTGAAATTTCCAGATTTGCAGAAACTGCTAAGCTCTTCCAGGTAGCAGAGTGCCAAGCTGGTTAATATAAATGCAGAAAGATAACACGGGGCTGTGCGAGTGGGCAGAAGATAGCAGATGGGCTTCTGCACGGACAACCGGAAAATAAGGAATTTAGGGGAAAAGAATTCAAACCGTCCTTCCTAGATGAAAGGGCTTTGAATTATCAGCTGTAACAAAATTAAAGGGCTTTACAAGTCAGTGTATACTTTTGTCCCCCGTAATTCCTACTGCAGCAGAAAGGCCAGCCAGCAACCAGGTGTGCTTAGAAAGGACATTTTCACAAGAGGATTAAGAGCTGCAAACAGTATCCTGCTTAAAAGCTTTGGTTCACTTATACCTGAAAGATCGCGAGCCATTTTATTTTTCCCAGCAAACCGTAGGCAGTTGTTATAGGGTAGGAAGGTCCAGAGAATGTCAACAAAAGCAATCTGTGCGAAGGAGGCACTGCTTTATGAAAACAAACTTGGGAAGATTAGGGTTCATCAGCCTGGGGAGATGAGGGTTTGTAAAATCGCAGGGCTCTGAGGATGGAGCCGTTCACCCTGGTTAACACCGAGTACCAGCAGCAGCAGTAGCAGGCCTGGTTCGGAGACTGGATGTAAAAGGAATAGAACGTAGAGAGAGATTAAAATCTAAGTCAACCTAGGCTGAAAGGCCAAGAGACAGACAAATAGGGACATAAAAATTCAAGGCAACAGGGGTGACGCCTGTGGCTCAAAGGAGTAGGGCGCTGGCCCCATATACTGGAGGTAGCAGGTTCAAACCCAGCCCTGGCTAAAAATTGCAAAAAAAAAATTCAAGACCACAGGAGATGTGTGCCAAAGAAATGCCCACCCCTGTCCCTTAAAACTTGAAAAAAGAGGAGAAAAAATTTTACACAATGGGTAACTACTTTAGAAACTAGTTACTCTAAAAGACTTGTTACATCCTGGGACTATCCATGGGCAGGAAAGGGATAGATTCATTTTTTATGAATGAATTCATCATATGATGGATTTGGAGATATACCTAAACATTGCAGGGGATACTGGGGAGGAAACAAGGTTTGGAGTCAGGCAAATCTGACTCAAATCCCAGAGCTACTACCTATTGGCTCTTTGGGTAAGTGACTTAACCACTCTGAATGTCCATTTCCTCATCTGAAGCAAGAAAATCCCCTTCCAGATAGAGATGTTGGGAAGATGGAAAGGGGGAGCGTTTGTGAAGCCCCAGGATGGGGCTGGGGACCCAGGGTCTGTGCGATCCTCGTGCTCTTTGTCATCTCTCCTGCCAGTGTGTTTGCAGCACTGTCAGACTCAGACACCATCCTGGGGAGGCTCTGAGTCTACCCCAGGTAGGCAGCCCTTCGTCCTAACCCTAATTTGGCTATTGTCATCTATTAACATTCTTTCTGTCTTATTTTAAGCCCTTATTATTTCGGGCACCGATTTAGGCCTTTAGATGATAACAGTGAGACCCACATGCTGATGCCCTCCTCCGAGGCGGGGTGGTACACAAACACTAAATCTGGACCCAACGCTCTTTCAGAGCATGATAGAAGAGGACCATAGGGTAGAGCTGGACAGAGGTTGAGGGGACAAGTCTTTCAGTGAGGAGCTGGAGGAAGGCCTCTCCGAGGAGACAAGTTTGGAGTGGGCCAAGAAATCGCTGGTTATTTGAAAACCTCAAGGGCTGGTGAGGTTGGGGACAGCATTCCAGGCAGATGCCTGGGGAGGGCTAGGGGTGCACAGGGAAGAAGGAGCGTGGAGTGTTCAAGGCCCGGAGGAGCCTGTGTGACTGAGGACCCTGGCTGGAGGGCAGAGAGACGGGGGACACAGGTAGAGAGACGGTGGCTGCCCTGGTGGGCCTTGAGGCCAGGCCAGAACTCAGGTTTTATTCTGTGAGGTCTCAGCTGCTTAGTGAGAGGAGCTGCCTTCTCTTCGGGCAAGGTCTTGGGTCTGCTGTGCGGGGAGTGGGACTCACAGGTAGCGTGAGTGGCAGGGACCCGTCCTGCCTCCCCGTTGTGTCCTCACTGCTTTGCCACTCTGGACTTGGCCACTACTGCTCCAGTTTCTCTGGACTCGGGGGCCACACTGATTTCATACCACATCTCTCTTGGCCCAGGGGGAAATTTGCATGAAGCTCTTTTTACCCCTCATGTTTTAGGACATATAAAAACTGTATTTTCTCAAAATGAAATATTTAACCCACATATATGTTGTTTCAGGTTTTAAAAATCAATTTGATTGGCCACAGGAAACGTATTTTGGCATCTCTGGGAGACAGGCTGCACGAGGATCCCCCGCAGAAGCCCCCTCGGTCCATCACCCTCAGGGTAAGTGCCAAGTTCGTCTTACTCTCAAGGATTCTTTTGTGCAATGAAAAGCAAGGGACCAGGGAGTCCGGGCTGTTTCCGTAGCTCATGTATATAAAAAAACCATCTCCCTTTGGGTTGTGTTTGATACAACAAGGTTTGTTTTTCTCAATTGATTAAACATAATTTTGAGCCCTAGATAGCCATCTAGAATGGAATTCAGTCTGACAAACCACCACCTTTAAAGAGCCACTCCCTCACAGCCCACTCCACACGCCCATTTACGCCAGGAGAGTGGAAATGAGTTTTCTGTCAGACTCCTCAAACCCACAGAAAGAAAATCGATCAGGGACCACAGTTAAGTAAAAGATCAATTTAAAATTAACCTTAGGGCCTTCTGTTTTCCAAGAAGTGGAAAACTGTCCACCTTTGCCCTCTTTAAAAATTAAGAACAGGGACATCTAAAACTTGACCTAATACACTTTTTATGTCTACCTGCTGTGTTTTAGGATTACAGGGCAGAAAACTGGAAAGGAACCCTGGAAGGGAGAGAGAAATAAAACAGAAAAGAAAGGAAGGCAGGAAGGAACGGGCAGGGAGGAAGGAAGAGAGGTGGTTTCCAGGCAAAATGGCAATGACATTGAACCTTGTGAGAACGTTTCTAAAGTTCATCCAAAAGCTGCGATCTCCCTGGAAAGTTGCAGAATTCCCACTCTGCTCACTTCAGCCCGTCTTTCTCCCGATTTCCTTTCTGCAAGTGTCAGAGAAGTTATCAATAGTAAATGAGGAACACAGCACACACTCAGACATGGCTACACACAACAAAATGATGCAGCGCAGCCGCATGCCTTACCAGTGACCTCCGCAAACGACATAGCCACCATCAGGACAGCAGAGGCTGGGGCAGGGGAGGAGCTATTACGATTCTCTGTGTGATTTGGCTTTGGAGGAGAAGATACTCCAAGATTTCAGGGAATGCAGGAGAATTGGCTCCAGGAGGAAAATTGATCTCAGGGATAACTGGGATAGGCTGGGATATTTGGATGCTCCGGGAAGGCTTTGGGAGTGATGAGAGTAGAAACGGAAACTCTTCCCTCTTAAGAAGGGGAGCTTCTACTAAATTGGAAAAAAAAAAAAATGAAGTTAGAAAGCCTTTCTCGTTTTGCCTTCATTTTGCTACACGGAAGGAAAGGAAGTCGCAGGCACCCTTGGGGTTACGTGCATCACCCTAAAATGACCCTTTAAAGGAGTAATTTCCTGCCACTCACTCCTTTTCCTTCCCTTCCCCTTCTGGACCTCTCTCTCCGGCTCCCCAGAAGAGATTTAGGGGAACAAAAGCGAGATCAAGGACAGAGATTCTCAAGAAAAAGGGTAGGACCTAATTCTGTCCTAGAAGGTCCAGAACATCTAGAGAAGTGGCCTAGGGACCCCCCATGATCCCAACCCTCATCTCACTTCAAACACCAGAGCTCAGCTGTCTGTGCCCCATTCCCCTCAGCTGGAGTTGTCTTTGAAAGCATCCTCTGTCATTCTGTGCCCTGCTCTGCGGTCTGTGCGTGTGACATGCTGTGTCGCCATGCTGTGTCCTCTTCCCAGTCCTATTGTTCAGACGCCTCTTTGGTGGAGGATCAAGACCCACCAGGGCCCATTTTAGCTTTCTCTTCACATCCAAGGTGAGGACACTTCACCTACGCAAAAGTCCAGTTCCTTCCCTTGTATATGTGAGAACACATGTGATGACATCAGGGGTGTCCACATCCTTCCTGAGACCATCCAGTATGCTAGTTTTAAGAAGATAGAACCTAATTATACTTCAAACCTTTGACCTGAAATAATGAGGGGGGAAAAAATCCAGACTAGAACATGCCCTTAATAAAAATGGTGGGACGTCCCCCGGTCCTGGGCAGTTGATTCCAAAAGGACTCCCCATCCCCCACAGTCTGTCTTGTCAATATTTCGCGATTTTGAAACCAAAGGCTAGCGGCAGAACATGGTATTTATTTCATGATGTATTTCCATTCAGGAACCCAGTGGTAATCACACTCCTCCTCAGTTGTCTCCATCACTTAGCCAAAGCACTTACACCACTGGTGGCTCCCTAGACGTTCCTCACATTATCATGCAGGGCGATGCAAGGAGGAGAAGAAATGAGAACTACTTTGATGATATTCCCCGATCAAAACTGGAGAGGCAGATGGCTCAGGTAAGGTGTTATAAGCCTCTGTGATGTGTGTGCCTTTCACCCCTATCAGGTAACCCACTCTAACACTGAAAAGTAGCTTCCGATGGGCGCTTCCCATCCACCCCGAACTGACACCTCACCATTTCACTCTGGGGCTTTTTTATTCCTTGCTCGTTTGGTTGAGACCGAAATAGACATTTCTGGGAATGGATTGCATACACGTGTCCTTGTTATTCATTCTTCCTAAAGAAATCACGTCTGATCTCCTTGCACCCAAAAGGTCTCTGCCCTACAGGGGATAATGCTGTGTCCAAATCGAGTCATAATGAAAATGAAAACTAACAGGTCTCGATGGTAACACATAAATGGATTGGATAATAGGGGAGAGCTAGGGGTGGAGGGGGAAGGATTAATGCTGTGTAATATTAACACCCTCCCCCCCAAGTTTACACGTGTGTGTAGAATTGCTCTACTGGGACGAGTTGCATCTTCCCGTATCATCATTTGGAGTAACTGAAAACGGGGATGCTACCGGACACAAATAAATGAGAGATCCGTCACATTCAGGCCTTCCCAGGCTTGGGTATGGAGGTTCACAGCTAGACTATCCTCAGATCGCAGCTCAGATACCCGAGTCGGCCCTACCCAAACAGTGGGCGCTATTCACAAAGCACATTCTGATGGGCAGCCAGCCCTGCCTTCGGCCTCGAGATTCACAGATGTGGATTTCTGAATCCAAAAATCAGAATCAACGCTTTTCATCCTTGTTCTAGGTTCAGACTGACGTGCAGGAGTCTGAACATCAGAAAAAGTTTCTCTCTCTCCCACACCTAAGATGAGAATCTCGAGGTGAAAATGTGACTGCAATGGCTTTGCCTCGGTTGTTAAATATTTTCCTCAGCTGTTGGGTGAGGTTTTGTTTTTAAAGCCTTTGGTAAACATTCTGTGCTGCAGCTCATGAAAGATTAAATGTAAAGAAGAACGTTCTAGAAACCGTGGCGAGTCTGCCTGCAAATGCCTTAGAGAGAGAGGCCCTGGGTTATCACGTCCCCTCTCAGCTCCCTCGATAGTCAATTCTTCTCAGGGTCCTTTGTGCAAGGAATGGCAAGGTTGGGATTACAGAGAATCTTTTATTGAAGGGAGATGGAAAATGTAGGAGAAACACGAAAAGAATTTCCCTTTCTCTGACAGATTTCGTCTTTTAATCTTTATCAGTGTTTTCACCGGCATTCTTTTACATAGAGAGTCTGAAAGATTTTCTCCCCCAAGCTGTTCATTTATTTCCTGATATTTGTTAGTATTTATAGATCACGTACGTGGTTAGATTTCTCGAGCGGCGGCATTTTGTTTGTTTTAACTTTGGACCCCACGGTCTTTAGGTATCCATCTAAACGGGGTCTTTTCTGAATCCTTCTCCTCCCTGGATAAGGGATGATAGATCTGTAATGAGCCTTAGCTATTATTGACAGTGTCAACTTCAGTAACAAAATTACCAGTCTCGGCGGCTCATACAGTTTATGCAATTTCTCCACGTAGTGCAGGTTTGTTCCCGCGGAATTAATTACTCTTCAGCATATGTGTGAGCACTCAGAGGTAATCTAGCAAGATTGCTCCCTTACTTTCTGAGATTTATACACGGGGGCAGTCATACCCTTTAAATAGGCCAGATCTTTTTCCTGTCACTCCAATCAGAAACTCATCCCTTTCGGGAATTACCTTGTTTTGAGAAAACTGAATGGACTTTTATCCGGCTGAGAGAGAAAAAAACCCGAAGCAGAAGATAGGCAAGTTGATGGGAAGTGGTGAGTCACAGAGTTTCAGCGTGAATACACTGATTCACCTCCCGTGGGCCACTAACAATGATCTCAGGGCACTAACAATGCTGCTATCACTGATGGAGACACGGGCTCCATCAGCAACCAGGACTTCATTAGAAGCTTCCTCAAATCCTGCTGTTCAATACGGAACTTTTACAGCAGAGAAAATAGGAGATGGCACTACAGGAATCTGATCAATAAGAAAAAGGGATTCTGGGACTGCAGCCCTTTGGGTTGTGTTAATTGCAGTTTTTTGTTTCTAGAATGTTCCCTCATTTGGCAAGGCCCAAAATCGTGGAGAAATGAATGCAGACCTCTTAAAACTAGTGCCATTTCAGCACTTACCCTGTCAAAATATGAAACGCTTTGTTGTTTTGTTATTAAACAGTTAGACATAAGATGTGACTGTCCACCATTCAGCCACTCAATTGCTGGGGTTTTTTTTTTTTTTCTTGTTCTTCCTTTTATAACTTGGTTATTTACTATAATAATTTTTAAAATCCTTTTCCTTTTTTTTTTTAACAACCTGTCATCTCTCTCTAAACTGTTTCTTCTTCCCGTAAAATTATGTGTTTAGCCAATCAAGTTGAGTCTCCCTAAAGACTTGAATTAGCAATTAAAATTCCTGTAAGCTAGCAGATAGTTATACTTCCTTCAAACCTTCAGCTCAGTGCCTACAGCTCTTTCCCAAGAGGTTTCTCCTAAGAGCCTTACTATAGCTTGCTTAATGCTTGCCTAACCAGTGTCTGTTTCCACTAGCACACACAAGTCCACCTTCAGGCCTGCTTTCTTACCTGTTAAAAGCAGGAGAATACAGCTGAGAGAAAATCACCAGGACGGATTCATGTTCTCCTTCAAGTTCAGCTGAACCCCTGCTAGAGTGATTTGGAATTCTAGCCTCAGGCCAGAACCCTTAAGTTCTTGGTGGCTACAGTAATTCATGGGAGTCTTGCCTTCCCAAGGTCTGCTCAACAGATGTTTGCAAGTGTTCAACTTGGAAAATCAATGTTTAAAGTTACATTGAACCTAATTTTATGTTCATGCCACCTATTCAATTTGTTATTTAACATATTACACTAGAGTGGTGTTTAATTGTTTGTTTTCAATTTGAACTAATATTTAAGATATCTGTCTTGAGGCTAGGTGTGGTGGCTCATGCCTGTAGTCCTAGCACTCTGGGAGGCTGAGGCAGGTGGATTGCTTGAGCTCAGGAGTTCAAGACCAGCCTGAGCAACAGTGAGACCCTTCCTGTCTCTACTAAAAATAGGCAAAAAAAAAAAAAACCAAACTAGCCAAGCGTGGTGGCACCAAACTAGCCAGGCGTGGTGCACATTCCTATAGTCCCAGCTATTGGGGACGCTAAGGCAAGAGGATCTCTTGAGCCCAAGAGTTTGAGGTTGTTGAGAGCTATGATGCCATGACACTCTACCCAAGGGGACAGAGTGAGACTCTATCTCAAAAAGAAAAAAAAGAATAAAATATCTCTCTTGGAATGCAGGGGATTTGCAAATATTTTTGGCTATTATTTGTTTTTATTCTGATGTAAGCAACATTCTGGCATCAAATTGTCTTAAATGAATACCTAAGAAACAAAACTGAGTTCAGCACTAACTGAATGTAATCCCGTAAACACATTTAAACTATGGGTTTCCTATAGTGCTGAAAACATAGTTCTCTAGCCTGTAGTTCTAAATTGGACTCATTAGTCCAAAAGTTCTGAGACACTCTCACCTTTTCATACCCCTAATTAATACAGGTTGCACTCACATTTATATGATTATATAGTTAAGGGCACAGTGCTTTTAAAGTATCAAAGTTATCTCCTTTTAGCACAAACAAGGTGTGTTACACACTGTTAGTCAATGTGCGTGTAGCACATGGCAGATCAGCTTTTAACTCTGAGTTCTGTGCAAGTGAGACAGTAAATATAAATATGGAAAACGTATTAGAAGAAGGAAAATATTTTCAGTATTTAGAGCCCAATTGCAATCTTTAGAGGTTTTCTTAAGCAATACTTAGGAATAGTCGAAGTATTCTTACCATGAATGATCGAAGAGAATGATGGAGTCAGTAAGGCTCCAGGGGCCACATTCTCCAAACTTCAGAAAAAGAAGAATGGTTTCCAAATGCCAAAAGTCAGAGCCATATATAGAAGTCTTCCATTTATAGAAATATATAAGGAAAAAATGAATTTCACAAAATGTGAAATACTGCCTCAACTGTAAGAGAAAGGCACATCCGTCTTTGTACAACTTTAGCTTAATTAATAGTGATAAAAATGTATAAGGTAGAAGTCTTTATGTTTTAAGTGCTTACAGTTAAATTAAAAAAAATTACTTGGGGCAATCTGTTGGCATTAAAGAGGTTTTTTCTCAATTATTTTTGTATCATTAGAAAGTGAATTCAGTTGAAGTCTAACTTTTTCTATGTAAACAGTATTACTTAATAAGTATGACTAAATCAATTACTCCTTCTTTGAAAGCACTTTACATGTTATATTAGTTCTACAAATGTTTGTTCTTTTGATGAAAGGAAGGGAAATAAAAAAACTGAGCCAGATGGAAACCCTGCCTGGCCAGGTCCATGCCTGGGATCGTGTGTGTCCATGTGAGGAAGCCCAGGTGGACACGTGCTCAGCCTCACAGGGCTGGGACTCAAGCCCTGGTCAGCCTGACCAAACCCTGGTTTCTATATAACCCCCTCTGCCCTGTGGGCTGCCTCTGTACTAAAATGATTTTAGTGACAATTCCACACATGCTAACGTACTTTATGTACAATAGATTACACTCCCGCAGGCAAGCAGAGGATAAAACTATGAGCAGTTTAGTCGAAACTTACTGAATCAGCTCATGGTTATCATCATGACCCTAAATGCAAAACTATCATTCCGTGGTTATTTGTTGATCTTTTTTTTTTTTAATTAAATCATAGCCGTGTACATTAGTGCGATCATGGGGTACCGTGTGGTGTTTTCATATGCAATTTGAAATACTCTCATCAAACTGGTTAACGTAGCCTTCATGTCATTTTCTTAGTTATTAAGACATTCATACTCTGCTTTTAGAAAGATTCACTTGTACCCTTGTAAGATAAACCATAGAGGTTTGAACCCGTCACCTCCATTATATGGGGCCGGCACCCTACTCCTTTGAGCCACAGGCGCTGCCCACATTTGTTGATTCTTTTAGCGGAGAATCTGGGCAG